TCTTACTCTGTTTTGTTATCTGGCACAATTTGAATAGGGTTAGTGCTATTTCACTCTTAAACGGTTTGAGGAATTCACATATGAAGTTATCTAGGCAAGAGTATTTTTCTGGAAAGGTTTATAACTATGGACTCAATTTATTAAATACAATGTTTATGAAATCTTCATATATATATATATATATATATATATATAGTTAAAATTCAGATAGTGATTCCATAGGTTAGTGTGAGATTCAGGTCTGCTGTCTTAACAAGATTGGGGTGATATCAATGTTGCTGGTGCAGGGATGACAATTAATTGGTAAGATTTTATTGTATGTGACAATTGCTGTTCATTTTAATGTCATTTCCATTATGTTTTCTAGGAATTTTTCAATTCTGTGTACATCATCAAATTTTCAACATAAAAGATATAAAAGTATTATGCATTACTTTACATAGTAATCTCTAGTACTATCCCCTTTTCACTTTTCAATTCTAATATTTTGTATGTCAGGCTTTAAAAAACTTCATCAGAATTTATCACCTCCACTTTCAATTAATAAATTTTGAGAGTTTTAGCTTACCACTTGCTTTCTAAATCATTAACTTCTGCATTTATTTTCAATATTTTTTTGTCTATATTTATTTTGAATTTAATTTGCTTTTCTTTTTTTAAATGGCTTTCTTGTAGTAGCTTCATGAGATGAATGCTTAAGTTATAGACTTTCAGCTCTTTCCCCTTTTTATTAAATACATAGAAAGGTATGACTCTTTCTTAAATACAACATAAACTGCACGTCACAAGTTTGCTATGTTGTGTCTTCATTATCATTCCATTCAAAATATTTTGAAATTTTCAATGTGTTTTCTTCTTGCCTTCTTTCTCCCTAGTTTGTGGAGGTCTAATTGATAAATAAAATGTAATACATTTAAAAGTGAATGTGAAAGCTGCTCAGTCCTACTCTTTGCAACCCCCTGGGACTGTACAGTCCATAGCATTCTCCAGGCCAGAATACTGCAGTGGGTAACCACTCCCTTCTCCAGGGTACCTTCCCAATTCAAAGATCGAACCCAGGTCTCCCACACTGCAGGCAGAGTCTTGACCAGCTGAGCCACCAGGAATATTTAAAGCATACACATAATGATTTAATATATGTATACATTGTGAAGCATTACCATGATCGAGTAATTTAACATATCTATCATTTCATACAGTTACATTTTTTGATGAGAATGCTTAAGTTCTGCTCTTTTTGCAAACTTTAATTATGCAATAAAATATTAGTTTACAATGACTCTTGCTCTAGAATTTAGTTCAAATACATGTATGTACAAATATATATGTATATATAATTGTGTGTAATATATAAGTATATATAATATGTATGTACATGTACACACATATACTAATACACATGTATACTAATTACACATTACCTAACAGAAGCAGAAGATATTAAGAAGAGGTGGCAAGAATACACAGAACTATACAAAAAAGATCTTCATGACACACATAACCACAGTGGTGTGATCACTCACCTAGAGCCAGACATCCTGGAATCCAAAATGAAGTGGGCCTTAGGCAGCATCACTACAAACAAAGCTAGTGGAGGTGATGGAATTCTAGATGAGCTATTTCAAATCCTCAAAGACGATGCTATGAAAGTGCTGCACTCAATAAGCCAGCAAATTTGGAAAACATAGCAGTGGCCACAGGACTGAAAAAGGTCAGTTTTCATTCTAATCCTAAAGAAAGGCAGTGCCAAAGATTGTTCAAACAACTGCAAAATTACACGCATCTCACACGCTAGCAAAGTAATGCATAAAATACTCCAAGGCAGGCTTCAACAGTACGTGAACCATAAAATTCCAGATGTTGAGGCTGAAACGTCTAAGGAACAACTTTCCTTAGAAAAGGCAGAGAAATCAGAGATCAAATTGCCAAGATCTGTTGGATCATACAAAAAGCAAGAGAGTTCCAGAAAAACACCTACTTCTGCTTTATTAATTATGCCAATGTCTTTGACTGTGTAGATCACAGCAAACTGTGGAAAATTCTTCAAGAAATGGTAATAGCATACCACCTTACCTGCCTCGTGAGAAACCTGTATGCAGGTCAAAAAGCAACAGTTAGGACATGGAACAACAGACTGGTTCCAAATTGGGAAAGGAGTATGTCAAGGCTGTATATTGTCACCCTGCCTATTTAGCTTATATGCAGAGTACATTATGAGAAATGGCAGAATGTATGAAGCAGAAGCTGGACTCAAGATTGTCGGAAAAATATCAATAACCTCAGATATGCAGATAACACCACCCTTATGGCAGAAAGTGAAGAGGAACTAAAAAGCCTCTTGATGAAAGTTAAAGAGGAGAGTGAAAAATTTGGCTTAAAGCTCAACATTCAGAAAACTAAGATCATGGCATCTGGTCCCATCATTTTATGGGAAATAGATGGGGAAACAGTGGAAACAGTGTCTGACTTTATTATTTTGGGCTCCAAAATCACTTCAGATGGTGACTGCAGCCATGAAATTAAAAGACACTTACTCCTTGGAAGAAAAGCTATGACCGACCTAGACAGCATGTTAAAAAGCAGAGACATTACTTTGCTGACAAATATCTGTCTAGTCAAGCTATGGTTTTTCCAGCAGTCATGTATGGATGTGAGAGTTGGACTACAAAGAAAGTAGGGTGCTGAAGAATTGATGCTTTTGAACTGTGATGTTGGAGAAAACTCTTGAGAGTCCCTTGGACTGCAAGGAAATCAAACCAGTCAATCCTAAAGGAAATCAATCCTGAATATTCATTGGGAAGACCGATGCTGAAGCTGAAACTCCAATAGTTTGGCCACCTGATATGAAGAACTGACTCATATGAAAAGACTCTGATGCTGGGAAAGAGTGAAGGCATAAGGAGAAGGGGATGACAAAAGGTGAGATGGTTGGATGGCATTGCCAACTCGATGGACATGATTGAGGAAGCTCCAGGAGTTAGTGATGGATAGGAAAGCTTGGCATGCTGCAGTCCATGGGGTCACAAAGAGTTAGACACAACTGAGTGACTGAACTAACTGATATGTATAATTAGTATAACTAGGAACTAGTCCAGAGTTTTTAATATGTTTTTATGGCATATCTTTTTTTATCCTTTGATTTTCAGTAGCCTTGCATATATGTGTCCACTTTGCCTCTTTGATGCCGTCAAAAAGAAGAGTTTATTTTATCCATATTTTCTAATTTTTCTCAGTGGGTTGGTTGGCATAAATAAAAAGGAATCTGAAACAACTTTTCTGAAAGCAACAGTCAAACTTTATGGCTTTTCATAATATATAAAATTTCCTACTTTCGTACTACTTTCTGCTGTAGTAAAACAAGAAATGCCAAAGACTGATCTAAGAAGAGGCCCCTTGCACCTAAAAACCCATCTGCAAATTAATGCACAAAATAGCTGGACCTTCGTGAACTGCATTTTTCTTTATCTTCTCATTATACTCACCTTGAACTAAAGAAATTTCAGCTAGTCAACAGGCTTTAAATGGAGATTTTAAAAGTTGGGAGGTGGGAGGGGGGTTCAGGATGGGGAACACATGTAAATACATGGCTGATTCATGTCAATGTATGGCAAAAACCACTACAATTGTAAAGTAATTAGCCTCCAACTAATAAAAATAATTGGGAAAAAAGTTATTATATCTAATGCTTAGAACACTACCTGACAAATAATAATTGCTATATAAGTATTAGTTATTATTATTAAATATTCCCACATATAACCAGTTTTTGAACTCATTTCTGATAGAGGAATTACAATTAACATGGACACAATACCTGTGTTAATGAATACTGCTACAGGATTCCTTGGTATGTTTAATCATTATGAAATATTTATTAGAGACTCACTATGTACAAATGATTATGTTGGAAAATCAATATAAAATAATGTAGGATAATGCTTTACCTCAGAGAATTAAAATCAAATTCAGATACAACATATATGTAAAAATGAACATTACTTATTTTAAATATCTCAATATTCCACTAAAATTTGAGGGAAAGAATTCTGTCTCATTCATTTATGCCTCCTCCATGAAGCCTAGCACATATATCTATACATGAGAAAAGAAAAAGTGTTAGTTGTTCAATTGTGTTCAACTCTTTTGCAACCCCATGGACTGTGGTCTGTAGCCTACCAGGCTCCTCTTTCCATGGAATTCTCCAGGAAAGAATACTGAAGTGGGTAGTTATTCCCTTATCCAGGGGATCTTCCCAACCCAGGGATCAAAATTGGGTCTCCTCCTGCATTGCAGGAAGATTCTTTGTTGTCTGAGCCACCAGGAACTTTATCTGCATATAGTCAACCCTCAAATGATTATGGAATTAAATCAAGTTTACAATGTTAAATTCTAGAAAATAGTAACTACAAAGGAATAGGGTCATCTTGATAATTGATTAATGGATAAATGGAAGTATGAACAAATAAATGAATGAACTAGCTACAGCTTAAAAGAAGTGTTATTTTGATAAGGAAAGAAGTCATGATAGTAAAGTAGAAGTGGAGAAAATATTATGATAAAAAGAATAGAGATAGAATCATACATGAAATATTTCAAGATAAATTAGTACAGGGACCACATAAAAGAGAAGGATAAGATAATAGATGAGTATAAACTAAGAAGGGTTGTGAATGGTAGTGTAACAAGTTTTGACTATGTTTCTTGGATAATGGTGAGTGTTGAAGGTTTCTAATCAGTTTAATACTTATTTTGGAATAACACAGCAACAGTGGTAAATTCCAGTTGAATAGAAAAGAGATTTGAGTTGACCAATCCATTAGTAGCTATACATACAGTCTACATCTATATAAATAAATATGGATCTGAATTTCAGTGTTGGCACTGGAAATGTTAAAGAAAAAACAGGTTATAGCACTACTGAAGATAAAATTACAAGATCTGATGAACAAACATATATGGAAATTATATGGAGAACAATACAACAATACAATATATCTTACCTTTTCAGAGAAATGTTTCAGTAATGTAATATGTTTAATGAGGTGGTTTCTCAGACTGGAAAATTCTGACATGAAATCAAATGGAGGGCTGCCAGGGAAAGATAACAAGACATTCTATCAATCTCAGTTTCACTTAATACAACAGCTTTATACTGTAGGAAAGTGAAAATTATAATCCATAATATGTATAGCTTTATGTTACTTTGAAAGAGTGTTGAGTGCCAAATGTCAGCTAAATTCAAAACATCACAAAGTTACATCAAAAAGTAACAGAAAGCTTATATGGAAGATGATCAATGTGATATATCTATGGCCTCAATAAAGTGATAGGATGATAAGTACACAATTTACAGCAGTTGTTCCTATTTTCAAGTTACTATAGCTAGAAGGTAGAGTAGGTAAGTTTTTAGTTTTATATTTTCTTTGGCTAGTTTACTATACAGATGATTACATGAAAAAAGGAAAAATGAAAAGTATCAAATATTAATTAAGTATGTAATCCACAAGTAGATTATCTACCACTTGAAAAATAGATTGGCTGTTGGTAACTCATTTTATTTGCCACAATTGAAAAAAGATGTATTTTACTTAGACACTATAACCAATTGAAAAGTTTTGGCTTTATTACTTTTGTCTAGCATATCTCTTACGCTTCTGTGGTTTGGGGAACCTGTAATCACAAGTACTAATTTGAATGAGGTGATAAAACCTACATACTTTTGTTGGACAATGATCACTATTACAATAAAAAAATGGAGAACAATTTTCAGAATGTCACTTGTAAAATAAATTAACAAGCATTACAATGCTGAAATCATATTTGCCCTCACAAGGGAAATGGAGTTTTATTTTTAAAAATTAGCAAGAGAAAGTAATTTATAGCCCCTTCTCCAAATTCCTAGGAGATTGCAGTCCCTAGATTTTATATGAATGTGCCATTTTTTGGAGGTCTATTTCTAAAACACATAAGAACATGGGCAATGATTCAAATCTCTTCTTATAAAAAGTATATAAATTTATGTGGCAAATATAGTTGCCAGTTCCATAGGATAATCTCCTTTAACTATATCCAGGGTATGAAACATGTGAGCAAAATTCCTTAGGCAGTGTTTTCCTTCTTATTTATTTCTGGATCAAAAAAATGAGCAAATAGGCAAGAAAATATTGGGTCACCCTGCTGCCATCTCACCCTACCCTATCCCTCAATTCTCAACATGAAACATGCTCAATTTATGTTTCCTTACATGTAGAATCTTGTGTAGTTACACTTTGATAAGTAGTCTTGCATTACTATATTATGCTCCTCAATAAATTTTGTCACAAATTATATTTAACTCAAAAAATAAGTCACTTAAAATTTTAATGACTAATGCCAATATAAAATAGAGAAGTCCTTGTGAAATGACTGAAATTTATATTTAGTAACATAAGAATGTTTAATACCCATAATTTCTATAATAAATCTTAAAACCTTTTTTCTATTAATAATAAAGTAAAACTTAAACTTAGCTATCTCATCTATATCTAAGCTTACAATGCTGGCAAATTCAACATTTGGTACACTGTAGTTCAGTCAAAAAGTTCTTCATTGTTCAGTAGCTAAGTCCTGTCTGACTCTGTGACCTCATGGACTACTGCACGCCAGGCTCCTCTGTCCTCCTCTACTTTCTGGAGTTGCTCATATGAAAAGATCTAGTAACTTACAAAAAAGGCTAATACTTTTAGGAAAATATAACAAATGGTAATTGTTCATGGGGAGAGGTCATATAAGCACACTTCCCCCCCAACCCGACCCCACATTTTTATGATGACATCTTGATTCAACTCCTGCTGTGCAAGTGCCAAGATGCTTCAGTTGTGTCCGACTCTTAGTGACTCTATGGACTGTAGCCTGCCAAGCTCCTTTGCACATGGGATTCTCCAGGCAAGAATACTGGAGTGGGTTGCCATTTTCTCCTCCAGGGGATCTTCCCGAACCCAGGGATTGAATCCCTGTCTCTGGCGTCTCCTGCATTGGCAGGTGGGTTCTTTACCACTAGTGGCACATATACGCTTCAATTCTCAAAAGTACTTATTATCTCTATCACCAAGGTGACTCATCAGACTTGTTTCTAATAAAGCTATAATAAATTTTAGGCCTGAACTCATATTTTATTACATCAAGTAAATTAATAGCTTGAACCACAATTTAAGAAAAAATATGATATTAAAACTAATGAAGGAACATTTACATTATAATAGAATCTTTCCTCTGTTTTCTTTTCTTTTTTTTTTCATTTATTTTTATTAGTTGGAGGCTAATCACTTTACAATATTGTAGTGGGTTTTGTCATACATTGTCTGTTTTCTTTTAGAAACATAGAGATTAGGCTAATTTTAGGATAAGCTATAGAAATAATTTTTTTCCACTGACACAATTACTCAATTTCAGAAAGTAAAGAATGAGCAATTCCTCCAATTGACACTCCAATTCCTCCAGCTGGCACAGATATTTGGTATGAGGGACTTAATTTAATACATAAGGAAAGCAATTAGGCTGAGCCCCAACAATTCTTAAAATCCATGTAACTCTCTGATGAGTCCTTGACATAATTTTCAAGACATCTGGACTTCCCGAGGAAGTCTGGACAATCAAAAGCAATTAAAGTTAAGAAATTTAAAAGTATTAAGTTGTTTTGTAGCCACCATGACCAGTGCAAAGCACATCATTGTTTTTTTAATGTGTTTTATTCATAATATTTTACATATTCAAAGATAATATATGGAATGTTCAATAAGTCCTCAGCTTAGTAAAATTATCATTCAATATGAAAACTTTTATTTAGTACTAAAGCAAGGACTATGAACATCTATCATGTTGTACATTGAGGACTATGGAATAAGTCCTCAAGCAAGGACTATGAGCATCTGTCATGTTGTAAATTGAAGTTTAAAACTTTGAAGCAGTTGGAAAAGAAGATGCTGATATAATCCATAAATCTGTCATATTCAAAAGCTGTTATATTGAAGTCACTGGTATAATTACAGAATTTATTGAAAGAGTAATCTGACTGATTGTCTTTAGGACTACACAATATAAAATATTGTAGAAGTAGTATAGCTCCCATTTAATCTTCCCTGGTTCCAGTGATGAAAGTGAAAAAAGCTCTCAAACTGGTGATGTAGCAATATTATACCAAAGAGTGCTTCTTAATACTAATACCATGATGTATGAAGCAGATTATATTCACTATGGGGGTCTTTATGATGCCACTACCTAGTCCTATAGTTATCTTTGCTATCTGCCAATTATCCTTTTCCCTATTTTCCTCAGAAGAGGAAAGCTGAGGAACTGATGAATGTCCTAATTTTTTTTCTAATATTCAATTTGGAATTTTTAGAACAAGTATGTCAATCATTCCATCCCCTATTTATATGAACAAAATGGGGTTGTCAATCAACTATAAATTGCAATGAAGAGAATGATAATGAGAGAGCAAATAACAAAGAGGGAAGAAAAAAGTTATCATGACTTCTTCCTTGTTTACTTCTCTGATTGATCATAAAAGCATACTTCCCTCTCTTACTATCTAACTTCTCTATCTTTGGGACATAACACTTTCCAATAGAAGAAGCAAATGGCCTAGAATAACATATATATATATATATATATATATATATATATAAAATGTTTCATTTGAGTGTAGAATATAGCACTGACTAAAGTCTTTGATTAAAAATAATTAGAAAATGGAAATATTAATATACTACCTACACATTATCAAAACAAAAATAAAAATCATTAGCTTTTGCTTTTCATAACTCTCTCTTAGTAATACAGAGTTTTACAACCAGAACTGTTTTATAAATATTTTTACTATAATTTATATATATATGTATATATATATATTTAAATATTTGTTGTTGTTTAGTTGCTAAGTCGTGATTCACTCTTTTGCAACCACATGGACTATAGCCCACCAGGCTCCTGTGTCCATGGGATTCTCCAGGTAAAAATACTGGAGCGAGTTGCCATTTCCTCTTCAAAGGGATCTTCCTGAACCAGGAGTGAACCTGCGTCTCCTGTACATGCAGGCAAATTCTTTACCACTGAGCCACAGGGGGAGACTATACAAATATATGTATGTACACACACACACATGCACACTCACACACAAATATATATGCAAACGCACATGCACACACACACATATATATATATATATATGGAAAAAAAACTATTTTGTCCAGATGTGATCATTTAAAACTTTTTTATAACTGTTACACATCCCTGAAAAACTTCAGAAAAACCAATATTCTTTCTAACGAAGCAGTAGTTTGATCTATAAAGAAAGACCAAAATAAATCCTTTGTAAAACAAATACTTTTTCTGTAAAGTGATTTTTTTTTCTGTTTAAAGTCAGATGATCAAATATTGTTCACTTAATGGGAATTATATAAATGTGTTCTTTACCCTATGGAAATATTAGAGCATAAATAAAAATATTTTAATGCCTTTGAAACATACTGTGGAAATAAAATCCAATTCCTACTTAAAAGTTTTGAAGAGATAGAAAGAGGGGAAAATGCAACTATCTGAAAGCTTTACAGATTATATATCAGGAATTACCTTTCCAGAATGTTTAGTATCATCTTGACCGCATTAATCACTTCAACAGCAGCAGTACGAATGTTACCAGGTGGTTGTTCATAAGTGCCATGTAGAGTACGTGTCCTTCTTCTTTCCGATATCATGACAAGAACATGGTCAATAGCATGCTCAAGATGTTCACTTTGTTCTCTGAATCTGGTAGGCATCTTTTTGTCATTCTGAAATTAAAGTGGGAGTTTGGGGGGAAGAAATGAAGCAGCACTTCATTTGTGTTATTCATAGTGTGTTAGATTAACACACTATAAATATGGAATAGATTCAACAGCAACAACATTTGGTCAAAGTAATGTAAGAGGTGCAAAATCAGACACTTTTCATTATTTACATATTCTTTCTGTTAATGCTTATATCATTCATGGTAATTGTTATCTAAAGGGCATGAAAAGAATAAGATTCATCCATGGAAATACTGAGGTATGTTATTTTAGAATGTGACAAAAACTACTTGTCCATAATTAGGATATGTTAATACTGGTACTGCCTTATTAGCAAACTTACCGCATTTTCTTTTTAGAGTATAATCAAGTAAGGGGAAAACTTATACTACTTTGTATTCTGGAGAGGATAGGGTACAGATCTAACAGACAGGAAAGGGAATCCTTACTTTTAATTTATCTTGGAGCCCTGTAAAATATGTGAGAGCTGGTAATTTAAAAACACATGACCTGTAAGATTATTCAGTAGTAAATGTAGCACTTCAAGTAATTAGACACTTTTCTTATTTACCTATTTTCTCTGCCTGAATGTGTATACATATACTCACTTTTATAAGACTTTTTCCAGAGTCTCATGAAATGGCTATTTGAAATAACAACAGAGTTTCAATAATGGCCCCATGTAGCCTCTTCTTTAAAATAAGTTACTCTAGCTTCCTCATTAAGTGGTCAGGAAATAATCTGTGATTTACTAAGTAGTGAGGATATTTAATAAAAAAGGATCTCTGCCCTTTTAGTCTTTGAAATTTTGGTGTATAGGAAAATTTTGTTTAATTATGAAACAGATAAATATACAACTATTTCTGTGCTGATTTCAATAAGATATCACAAGAAAATATCATATTAATGTGATTTCTATAAAACCATAAAACCAAGTACATAGTTCCTCAATAATTATTTAGTCCTAATATAAAGTCTACCATGTAATATGTTCAGATGTTCAACCTTAGTGTTTCACTTTAAATATCATGAAACAATATAACATAGATCATTATACAGATTTCTGATGAATAGTTTGGTTTTGGCAGTATTCACCTTTTTCAAATAAGCTTGCTTTGCATTTGTTGATTGGCAAAATAATGTGTATTTTGGCATTTTTTTGTTTTTTCAAAGTGTTTCAGCATACGTAGAAAAAAGTAATAGAAAATTATGGCTTCTAGTTTTATGTTTGTCAGAATGAAAGTATCAATGCCAACATTTAAGATATAAACCTAAGCATGCTTTTACTTTCATCTTCTGCTTCCCAACCTTCTTCTGCTTTCATTGATATAATTTGAATTTTGAATATAAACTATTATCATTAATATTTTAAATATTGATGTTATTCCGGTGTACACTTTTATGAAGGTTTATACTTTCAGGAAGTTTTTCTAAGTCTATAACCATATTAATGAAGATTATTTTGACAAACTGTACTAGTTTCATAGCTCATTGTCTATTGCTTTATACCATAACATGTCTGTTCTTGGATTATATATCTTTGGTCAGCTGAAACGCATCTTCCTGTAATTTTAAATAATTAATCGGAAGACCCAGAGGAATCGGGTGGAGAGGGAGGTGGGAGGGGGATGGGGATGGGGAATACATGTAAATCCATGGCAGATTCATGTCAATGTATGACAAAACCCACTGAAATGTTGTGAAGTAATTAGCCTCGAACTAATAAAAATAAATGAAAAAAAAATTTTTTTAAGAAAAAAAAAAAAAGAATTAATGGGTTCAGGATGGGGAACACATGTACACCCATGGATGAATCATGTCAATATATGGCAAAACCACTACAATATTGTAAAGTAATTAGCCTCCAATAAAAATAAATAAATAAAAATATATAAGCCTTTAAGGATTAATGGGATTTAATTCCTGAATTTGTATTCTTAAAAATATTTTAATTTGCCAACTCCCATAAATGGTCTCCCAAAATCATACATCTAATTATTAGTAGACCTCGTCCTGGAAACAGAAGGCTCCTGATGCTAAGTGCTCCCTTTCTACTACATTATTAAATATATTTGGTCCCAGAGGGACAACAAAAGATGGGAAATTTTTGATGCATGCCATTTGCCAGTGTGGTGAGATGGTAAAACATCTATGTTTGCTTTAACATCAATCACTTACTGTGAAAATGTGAAAATCTATCTTAATCTATCTTATCTACTTAAATCTATCTATCTACTTAATCTATCTATCTACTTAAATCTATCTTATCTACTTAAATGTGAAAATCTATCAGACATTTGTTTTCTTTCCTTTTTACGTTTTAAATTCATTTCACAGAGAGAAAACACTTTTTTTCCAGTAAGTCACAGGACTGGAAAAGGTCAGTTTTCATTCCAAACCCAAAGAAAGGCAATGCCAAAGAATGTTCAAACTACTGCACAATTGCACTCATCTCATATGCCAGTAAAGTAATGCTCAAAATTCTCCAAGCCATGCCTCAGCAATATGTGAACTGCGAACTTCCAGATGTTCAAACAGTTTCAGAAATGGCAGAGGAACCACAGATCAAACTGCCAACATCCGCTGGATCATTGAAAAAGCAAGAGTGTTCTAGAAAAACATATATTTCTGCTTTATTGACTATGTCAAAGCCTTTGACTGTGTGGATCACAATAAACTGTGGAAAATTCTTAAAGAGATGGGAATATCAGACCACCTGACCTGCCTCTTGAGAAACCTGTATGCAGGTCAGGAAGCAAGAGTTAGAACTGGATATGGAACAACAGACTGGTTCCAAATAGGAAAAGGAGAATGTCAAGTCTGTATATTGTCACCCTGCTTATTTAACACATATGCAGAGTACATCATGAGAAATGCTGGGCTAGAAGAAGCACAAGCTGGAATCAAGATTGCCGGGAGAAATATCAATAACCTCAGATATGCAGATGACACCACCCTTATGGCAGAAAGTGAAGAAGAACTAAAGAGCATCTTGATGAAAGTGAAAGAGGAGAGTGAAAAAGTTGACTTAAAGCTCAACATTCAGAAAAGTAAGATCATGGCATCCAGTCCTATCTCTTTATGGCAAATAGATGGGGGAACAGTAAAAACAGTGGCTGACTTTATTTTTTGGGGCTCCAAAATCACCGCAGATGGTGATTGCAGCCATGAAATTAAAAGACGCTTACTCCTTGGAAGGGAAGTTGAGACCAACCTAAATCCCATGGACAGGGGACCTGGTGGGCTTCAGTCCATGGGGTTGCTAAGAGTTGGACACGACTGAGAGACTTCACTTTCTCTTCTCACTTTCATGCATTGGAGAAGGAAATGGCAACCCACTCCAGTGTTCTTGTCTGGAGAATCCCAGGGACAGGAGAGCCTGGTGGGCTGCCATCTATGGGGTTCAACAGAGTCAACACGGCTGATACAACTTAGCAGCAGCAGCAGCAAATAGCATGTTAAAAAGCAGAGACGTTACTTTGTCATCAAAGGTCCATCTAGTCAATGCTATGATTTTTCCAGTGGTCATGTATGGATGTGAGAGTTGGACTATAAAGAAAGCTGAGTGCCGAAGAATTGATGCTTTTGAACTGTCTTGTTGGAGAAGACTCTTGAGAGTCCCTAGGACTGCAAGGAGATCCAACCAGTCCATCCTAAAGGAGAACAGTCCTGGGTGTTCATTGGAAGGACTGATGTTGAAGATGAAACTCCAATACTTTGGCCACCTTATTCAAATAACTGACTCATTTGAAAAGACCCTGATGCTGGGAAAGATCAAAGGCAGAAGGAGAAGGAGACAACAAAAGATGAGATGATTGGATGGCATCACTGACTAAATGGACATCAGATTCAGTGCTGCCCATGGGGTCGCAAAGCATCAGACATGACTGAACGACTGAACAACAACAACAACAATACAATCTTCAATAGTATTTTGGACTGTGGGCAGAGGCTACTTTATTGCTAAAGTTATTGTTATGTGAAAAAAAATTCAAAATTGGAGTTTTAAATTAAATCAGTATACAATATCCTTGAATAAGTAAGAGTTTGAATACCTACTTAACGTTGAATCATGCTTTGTGATCAGCATTCTAGGGATTATGATAGAAGATGAAATATATGTGAACGTATTATGATTTTCCTGTTTTTTTTTAAATCATGAAATTATTCATTTATTTTTGTATCAATTGCCTATCTTCATTATTGATAATGTTAGTTATACAAGTGCAGGTACCATGCTGTCACGTTTATTGTAATACTGAACAGTCTGGCATATAGTTGGCTGTCAGCAAATTTGTTGAATGAACTAAATTCATATATTTATTAGAAGCTTGTGTATTTTGTTCCATCTTTACTTGCAGGAATTATTTTTGCACCTTTTCAGTACTATTCAAAATCAGAAAAGCATGCTCCATTGTAAAATGTAAATTCATCATCTCCACATGATGTAAGGTGAATATTTCTTTGGTTATTTCTTTACTATGGCAAGTCAAACTACTGTATTAGAATGGACCTATTGGTTTCAGAAGCATTATTGATTAACTGTCTAAGATACAATAACTTCTGGGGCATGGAGGAATTAAGACTTATATAAATGCTCAAAATTTCCAACTAAAAATGAAAAACAATTACCTAAGCATATGCATGATATTAAACATCTGGATAGGTGACAGTTTTCACCCATTTTCATCCTACTGATTGGCACAATGCCAGTATAGCTATATGTTATTCTATTTGCGATATTTTGAAATGGTCCATCTAGCCCAACAATCTGTAGTTTTTTAACAGAATTTCAATTTTATAGCTTAATTTTCACACATACTATAGTATATATTAAAATACATAAACATATCAATCATATATATACATGAGTATGTATGATATGTATATATATATGTGTATATATAGATACACATATATACATGCATTCAGTTCTGTGAATAGAATTTAGTTTGCTAACTGACACTAGCTGCATTTATAAAAGAGTGTACATGAATTGCTGA